AAAAATGTAGATATAAAAAAATATATGAAACAGTTTTGGAAAAGTTAAAGAGCTTGGCAAGGAAAAGTGGCCATAACCATGCAAAGCGCTTCCCTGTCTATTATCACCAAGTCGTTACTGTAATTTAAATGAGCTCAGCTACGTCATTTGAAATGTACACTGAGGTCTCAGCCAATATCCTTAATATGCTGAGAGCATTTCCCCTGCGTGCACTCACACATACCCTCTCTGTCCATGCAATTAAAGTACTGATTGTGTGGCCGCCTTTAATATGCATATCTGGTCATTTGAAGTCCCTCTTAGGAAACGAGAATGCTTGCAACAAAAAAAAAGGCGACGCGATTTCATCTGCGCAGAAACTGGAATACAAATTGCAGGGTGAATATGATTTTGATGCCTTCGATTGCGGCTGGAGCAGCACAGCCGTAGCTCAAGGTGACATCTGGTCTCGGTTTTTAATGGCCTTTTTTCATTTAAATGAGAGGAAAATGGGAATACCTTCTCATCAAGGGAACAATGTGATGTTATACAGCATTAGGGTAAGGTACACTTGCAATAATGGTTGTTGGAGGCGGGTGCAGGTTATTCCCCATCTTCCCCCCCAAGAAATGTGGAGAAAAATTGAAATTTGATGCCAAAGGCGACAAAAACAGGCGTGTAATTTTGAAGTTTAGTTTTGAGTCTGTAGGCACGGCAATGGTTTATTATTTATATATATGACCGCCTAATCAATGCGATGTCATATCATTAACTATACACCCAGTTCGGTGCACGTAAAATAATGAAAAGCCAGCTCTTGAGCACCTAAACCATTTAAGTAATGTTGACTTTGCATATCCTGCGAAATTCAATAAAGGATGTTTCCACACACACTGCACAAACATAAATGTACCGGATTTAGAGAACTGCTCACAACGAACAACCGAATATCCAGAGTCATCATATTAACAGCCAATTAGGCAGCATTACACCAGATCTAACGGGTGTTCTGCTGTACCGGCTTCTTCTTACACACATTAGCCGTAGGGAGTAAACAAGTTATTTTTCTCTCTCAGAGAAAATAACAACAATGTTTTTTAGACCGTGTTCACACATTAAATTGTTTTTTTTTGTTGCTTTCACTCACCGTTCCGTTTTATAACCTGACAATTACTGAAATGGCAAATTAGAGAACATATTCAATAAGAGGAGATAAACAAGTCATTACTTAATTACAGTGAGGTCTGCGAAAGGTTGGCTGCTAATTAGTTGATGCCCAATTAACGGCTGGGCTTAATTAGAGCTGGTGTAAATGAGATCACTGGGGGGAGTCCTTAATTACGCTCGTTTTGTCAATACACTCCCCCCCCGCACACATGCACAAAGCTATATTTAATTTTGCCAAGAACAATTGCTCAAAATTAGCTTTGCTTTCGCTACGCGTCCCGCAATGTAAACGCTGCACACATCACATGAGAAATGCAATAATTCCCCGATGATTCCAAGATGTAGAACTTTGTATAAATTATTAGACTATTATAATGTGCAGTTTTCTGAGCAGCCCTTTCAATGTGACCACTATACAGAGTATTCTTTTTTATTTTGTAACTGGAGGGCAAATTGGTGGAATGTTGTTCCCAAATGTTAATTTATTTTAAAATCATGGTTGTTCTTAACATTTGACCTTGCAACTGATCTTGACATTTGATCTTTCAGCCTGAAAACCATACAGTACTGTACAAGACATGGCACTCTCAGATGAAAATTCCAAAAATTTGCAAGGATTTGTCAGGGATTTTTTCTTTAAATGTGCTGGGAGAAGCAGACATATAGGACTATTGTGTTTTTTGCGAGCCCTCTGACCAGGATCTTTGACCCCATGACCTTAAAGTTGACCCTAAACGGACTGCATTCACGAATCATTTCTGACATTAATTGCAGGTGGAGAGATTTTGTAATGAAACACAAACGAAAAAAAATAAATCTGTCTTATAAAAAGATCGCAAGCAGTTGTCCTTTTTTATACTTTGAAGAGACATAACAGCACTTTTAAAACTCCCGATCATCACGAGCCATCACAGCTCAGATTCCATTTGACCAGCCTTGTTCATTCATATGCAAATTGAGTTGTTACACATTTACACGCACACGTGAAGATTGGACGAAAAAAAATTGGCAGCTGGTATTGTCCTATGAAGAGTCGCTGGTGTAGAGCCATAAAAGATGACGGCAGACACAAAGCCCAGAGCAAACAAGGTGTTTGCTTGTAATTATCAAAAATATTGACAACGCTCACAAGCCTACCGAACGCCAGTGTCACCAACGCACGTTTTAAAATTGCCAGTGCATGTTTGTGAGAGTGGCCTTGTGCACCACGAGAAATCTGTGGAATGGCTGCCCATCATATGCCCCATCAGTATTCTGGCAAAACATTGCCCAATGATGCTGGATGTAATTACCAGCGAAACGCCGTACTCCAAATGATACATGTTGTGGATTTACTCTCCAACACACCGGTGGGATGAAGTAGTAAACTAATTGGCACGTTTTGTTGACGTGACAGGGTGGTGGAGGGTTACGACATAACATTTATACTTACGCGATCTAACCCAAAAACCTTTATGAATAATATTGGTCGCGAAAGCCTACGTGTTAAACCATATATTCCCCAAGTTCATAAAACCTTGTTCAATTCAAGAAAGATACCGGTTATATTTTTAATCTTCAATAGTGCTGTTTGTTCCCGGTCGTTTGGCACTTTTAGCCTCTGGATCGGTGTTCAGCAACTGTGATTCATAAATAATAATGATGATGATGATACGTACATGTAACATGTCGAATAAAAAAGGGCCATTCATCTATGTGTTCTGCAAAGGGGCTATTTCTCGAAACGTTGCCTGTTGTAAAAAATATATTTTTGGGCCACAGTGTTATTGATGAATTTATAAAGTTTATTGTGATATAGCAACACAGCATTTGGTTGATACTCATTTTTTTCTACTTGTGGTAAACAAATCATAGCTGTTCACTATTGTCAAATATTTTCTCAGGGCTCCACAGTCTAAAGCACTCGTCTGTCTGTGCTCCGAAGAAGGGGTATTGCCCAAAACAGTTCCCGGATTTACATTTTTCTCTATTTGTTTCTGTTCTACAACAGTGCTACTAAGTGTTAATGTTGTGAGGGTCATTGTTTAACAAAGTACAACGGTAAGTCGAGCACATTCCTTGCATCCTCACAAGCATGCGGAATCACCTGGGGGGGGGGGGGGTGGGGGGCGGTGTTAAATAAGAGCTAGTGACATATTTATTATTTCAGAGGACAATTTTAAACATAATAAAAACACACCAGCGGAGCACCCCAGCACTGCATCCTAGGCTATTAGGCCGAGAATTATGTATTTCACTTTGGTGCAATTTTTCGAAAGGAATGCTTTAATAAATCGGGCATTATTAGCATTCGAATCGCTCTTGGGAGGAGTACACTCACTTCTGCTTTAAATTACGTCGCGGTAATTAACTGTAATAACGAAAAAGAGCCGTCTGATTAATTCCAAGTCACACAACAGCTCAGGGTATTGAGGTACAAGGAAATTAATCCCCGGCATTTCTCTAAATATCAGCAGAAAGCTGCTTATTTTTTCCCCAACCTTATTGTTATTGCAACGACAATGTAGCTTTCCTTTGCGCTCTCGCGCTTCATGTATATACTGTCAATGTATAAACTGCCTATGCATACACTGTTGATGCATACTGCAGCAATTGAAGAGATGCGATGGCATCTAAATGTTATGCATGAAGCATGTCATACTTAAAACAATTATTAAAACTATAAAGATGTGACGTTTTATATGGATTGTTTCGAAATTAAACTTAGCAAGCTCGGAGAGCAGCATCCTACAGAGGGCAGCATTCAATAGAAGAGCACCACTCAATTCATATTTTTCCTGCCAAAATCATTAATAAAAAGACGAAGCCCCATTGCCAGAAAAATTAGCATAAATAAAAATACACATGATCCACTATTCATAGTCATAAAAATACATTTATATTACAACCAAAAAATGGCCATGGCACAGAATCTCACAAATTTTTTTGTTCCATGCAATTTTGGGTGAATGTTTGTAAAATATATAAATATATAATTAACGTGCCCATTAGGTGTTTGGATGGCTCGGAGAGCGCTGAGCTGGCACTGCCGAGATCCCGGGTTTGAACCCAGATTTCAGTCGCCTGTTATTAAACCGGGCTCTCAAGTGCAGTGAGTTGATGGTCACCGCCCAGTCGCCAATGACCTCAGAGAGAAAAAATAAACTCATCACATTAAATTTGGTTCTGCACTTAATTTGGCAAAATTTCTGCTTTTAGAATTACACATATCGCTTTGACTGCCGTGGTGACAATAACGCCTCTCCGTAGCAGGGTGGGTGGGAAATTGCTGCCCTACAATGTGAGGATCAAAGGTCGCTTGAAGGGTGCCCCAGAAGTAATTCTGTAGTGTCTACTTCCACGGGCCATTCTCTAACATGGGAGAGTTGCTCTTCGAGGGATTGCATAGATTCTTCGTATCATTACATGACTCCGATAGCACAACCAGGATAAAATTTGGTAAAACATACAAGAAAGGGCAGATTATTAATCACCCTTCTTCCAGGACTATATTCACGACTCGCTCTGATAACCTCAATCGAGTCAACACAACCTCGGATGACTGGGGATGCTGGAGTCTATTGGGTATCACAGCAGTACAACACAACAAAGCACACAGCGTTGGTGTACGGTGCTTTGTCAGGAATATCTAGCTGTTTTTTCATGGATTTTCTGTTTGCACAGTCACATAGTCACTTTAAGATGTTTTCTTGTTCGTGTTTTTGTTTGTTGTGGTTGCACCCGATTCAAGAGCCGAATGTCTCACAGGGTTATACCAAATAAATAAACTGAAAAACTGAAACTGAAACACTTGAGAAAACATTGCAACTAATTTAGTTTGAATTGAACGGACATAGTGGGAAAACACGCGCGGGATTTATAAACCTCCTTTTTATTATTGCATTCATTACAGCATTGTCAGTAATTAGTACTGAGATTACACACAGCTACAATTGGTCAACTACAGAATTGGTCTGTTTTAGCGCGCGCGTGTGAACCGATATCGCTGACACAGGCTACGCCGGCCTTCACTTCTCTATTTACACAAACATGTCCGTGTTGGTGGCAGTGAGGGATGCACCCTTATACATTAGTTTATTTTTCACGATGCGCAATTTGAAGAAATATGTACTCGTGCGACAGAATGTAAAGCCGAGTTTTTCACGTACAACTCACACCAAACGCGGTGTGCGATGCCCTCATTGCAAGGGGAGAATCCACATGGCATGAACTGAAATGTCCTTTTGTTAATCTGGTATATATATTTTTTTAATGTTCGTTTTTTTTAATATAATGCTACATTTTGATCAGAGGTAATTCAATACATCTTTTGACAAGTACTTTAATTTTTTCTGGATTAATACGGAAAACAATTAATTGACTGTTTATAGTTTTCTTAGCTATGTCCATAGGCATATTGTTTTTATTTTATTGACGATATTAATATTTACATTACAGTTTGCCTCTCTTAAAATCAATATGGAAGCCACATGGTTTGTAAACAGTGACAATAGAAAGCCAAACACAGCCTGAAAGAGCCTTGCTTTCCAGAAAATTTATATTACAAAGTAGAACAAATCAAGCAATATTTATCCCCTCTACGTATGCACAGCATTGACATAGCTAAGAGCACAACAAACCCAAAATTATTTCATTATTATCTTTTTAGAGTTTACAGCAATTTTTGTCATGAACGAACAAAAAACACTCTCCGTTTCTTCAACACTGGTGTCTTTTGCAATCATAATCCAGAGGTTAAAAGCATCTGCTAATCTTCGCATTGCTCTTTGGGGGGGGGGGGGGTGGTGGGGGCAAATGACAGTGTGAATGAGTCACGCAGAGCTTAGTGCTGCCGTCATCGTTGCGCACTGGTGGCAAGCCAGCCCAGCGGTTCATAGGGCCACAGAGAAGGTCGTCTTAAAATCACGGGCCGCAAGTTGTTCGTACAAGTTGCAGTTTGGTCCTATTAGTTTTCATGTACTGATGAAATAAAACAAAATAATGAAATAAAAACACTGAAAACACACCGGCTCGTCTAAACAGTGCTCGGAAGTCTCGAGGGCAAGGTGAGAAATTGAATCTGAACTGCAGTGAGCCAATTCAAAACGTGTAATATTTTATCAACGTGCCAAACGTCGTTATAAAGTTATCAAACCCCCCCCCCCCCAACTCAACCCCGCCCCCCCCATTTCGGAGCTAAAATGTACAAAGAGGAAGAGCTCGCGGTGTGATATTTTTTTCATTTTGTGTTTTTTTTAACAATGACCTGATGATCTTTTATCATACTAAAGCTAGTAATTTATTAATTCGATTTCGTCGTCATTTCTTAAAAACGAGGGCCTCGGCGATTTCACGTCTAAATGCTTCAACCATCGCAGCGGAACAACAACTGCTTACACACAGACCACTTAAATGCGTGCGCAAACAACAAACATGCACGGTACGTTCAAAGCGAAGACCTCCCGGTCCAAAGCGGCGATTCTAGCGTAAATGCTCGAGAAGCAAGCGAAGAACTTTACAGCAAGAGATGCGAACGGCAAAGCACATTAAAGTACAAAAAAACCACGCAGAGATATGTTCTTCAGATTAACCATCAACAGACCTAAATGTTATCCTAAAACACAGTTCTGGTTTCATTTTGAGGTTTATTTTTTTAAAGATTGTAATTTTTTGTTATTTATAGATATTTATATATGTATATATGTACAACTGCAACATCTTATATTATCTGCTAACCAGAACAAAACTTCATATCATACTGACTGGATTATTAGTTTTTTGATCTTGGGGCAGGCCTGTGGCTTTTTTCGTACATGGTTGTTATGTACACATCTCTATGTCCTGCATCCCATCAAACACCGATAGCAACTATACAGAGATAATGTTTACGCCTCCAACAGGTGAAAAGGGAGGGCAATTTGAGCCGACATCTGTGACTCCCATTTTATTGTTTGTGGCCAGAAACAAGCCCGGCTTAACTTGGCAGGCGCGCTCATCGCCAGCACTGGATCTTGTTAATTCTGAGGTCCGAAGAGTACCTTGCAAACTGCAAGTATGGTACTGTAAAGTCAAGAGCAACATCTGTGCCAATGGCAAGATTAAATGGGTTGTGAATGACCGCGAGGACGAGACGGCTTTGCTCCTGTAATGCGCTCAACCAAAACAAGTCCTGTGCAGCAGTTTCATTGAGCCACGTGAATGTGGGAAATGAAGGTGCCGCGGCCTGTTCGAATGATCACAGAGCTGCGCGTTCTCGCGAGACTCGCAGAATTAATACATCAGTCTCAACCGCTTTGCGGGGAAATCCTCAAAGTTTCTACGAATAAAAAACATCTCCAAGCAACCTTTAGTGGTTTATTTTCGACTGAAAAAAAATATATAACTTAAATAACCATTAGCTGCCCCCCCCCCGTCCCCTTTGCGAAATGGAAAACTTCAACTTCTTTCGCACCGTACGTAGCCACCTCGTGCTCTTCGGAGGCGCGTCTTGCATCGCCATGAAATTCCCAAGCACGGCCAGCGAGCCTGTCATGTGACCGTGAGATTGGTGGACTTTACTCCCCTAATACGGAGGCAAAGTTTCGCATAGTTATCGTCACTACGTTCCTTAGGAAAAAAAAGAAAAAATCCCCACAGGTTTCTAATCGTAGCCAGTGTCCAAATTAGAATGGGCCTAATTTAGCACCGATAGTAGGACAGCATTGGGGCGGAGTACTCTTAACATAGCAGCGCGCGTGTGTTTTTGTGTGTGTGCGTCTGCTTACGTTCGCCCACACCATTGTCGAGTATCTGAACAGGTCCTGGGCCTCCCCTAGGTCGACTCAGCCTCAAATGAGTACCCGGTGCGATGTGTAAACATCGCCACTGTGGGGAGACAAAGGCGGCCAGGCGTGATTGCTACCCACCCAAACCCCCCCACGTGTGCCGTGCCGACCTTCGGAGGTGCTACTCGCTAACAGCACTTGCCCCAACAGTCTGTAAAGGCTACACGGGGTGGAGGTGGGGTCTTTGTCTTTGTGTGCCATCAGAAAGATTGTGGCCTGTCTTTCCCGGCGCATGTTTTACAACATCATCAACAACAACAAAACCCCCACTGTGTCGTCCAAGGAGTGGCGGGAGATACAAGGTCTCTCGTGTGGCGCGCGTGAGGCTTGACAGTCCAGTGAACAAGGCGGCCAACGCAGCAAAGCGGGGGGGGGGGGGGGGGGGGGGGACTCTTCAATGCTCAGAGCCCCCCTCCCACACCCCCTTTGGCCAGAGGTACAGATGTGCGTTTCGAATGGTGGCACATTCACCACCAACAACACCGCCACCGCCACCACCCACCGCTTGTGTGCAGGCGTGGCGATCGTTACGAAACGCTCAGACCGCTCCCCTATGTCTTGTAAGTTTGTTTTTAACTTCGCGGGCGCGCTCTAAACTCAAGATGCGATAACGAACGACCTGCCCCAAAATCTCACCTCCCTCCCTCCTGCTTGTAGTGATGGCACGGCCGTTTTTTTAAAATATATATCAGTGAAATACATTTTTTATGATAGTGAACTGTGTTAATGCTGTTTGGTTAACTGTGAGCTATTTTCAGGTAGTTAAATGGTTCCATGGGAGACCTTTGGTTCAGATTTGCAAACGGACCCACAGACCTATGACATCAGTGCACAGTCGATGCACAGAACCAGTACACACAACTGCGTTATCCGCTCAGTATATACGATGCACACATCATGTAACGTCAACTGATTTTCGTTCGTAATTTGTGGGATTAATCTGACACTTTACGTACCGGTACAGAGATGCCAATACAAGTGTAATTTTTTTTTATGTTATCGGAAATGTATAAATGTTGTAAATTTGGGACTATGAGCATCAATGCTGTATCCTTATTCTAGTGGTCAAAATATGCGACGAATCTATTCACGCAGGTTCGAATTTTTGCCTCGCGCAAAGATCGGGAAGGTAACGTTGATGTCATGTGTGCAGGTCCGCTGAGGTTATGCCGTCTGTTTGGGATCTCTAGAAGCTTTAATTTGGTAGCTTCAGCAGCGACTGTTAGGTTATTTGGTTTCGGAAGGGAAATCGAGATCATCACGATCACTCAGCCACTAAAAACCATCCCTATAAATAATCTTTGGTAAATCACAAATAATCGTAGCTCAAAATGAGGATTTTATGATAAAGTAAAAACCGAGTTTTTTCTTTCCTAATTAAAACTAGGTGGCAATCATTTGCCTCTTGTTAAAAAGTTAGGTACTGAGTTATATCAAGTGTAGGCTGTCATCAAATAACTGGTCATGAAATATAACGTATTATGTTCTTCATGAAGTTTCAATTGGCGAACGTCTTTGTAGACAATGTTGCATTCTCCCACACAAGGACATTATGAGACGTTACCATTTTGAAAGGAAAGTACGGACAACGGAACAATAAAGCCAACAAAGTAGGACATTGATCAACAACAACAAGTGTGTGTTTGCTGACAGAAACAAAACTAGACAGCCATGAAGCACAATTTCTCAAGTGACTAACTCCTAACACACATGGAAAACACATTGTCATTTCTCAAGAGGGATACACGTTGCATGATGCAGCCCACGTAGAAGCTTTCATAGTTAACGAGGTCGAGGGCGTCAGTTTTTTTTGTTAGTTTTTTTTTTTGGTAAACTGTGTGTTGTGTGTGCAGTTGGCACCTCTCCATTATTCCTCGTGAGTGTTTTGTAACGGGAGTATTTAAAAAAGAAAACGTATTTTGCTAAGCATTCGATAACGGGCAGGCCCGAGCGCAGCTGTGGCGTTCCAGTCGATGCCCGGCTTAGTTTTTCGGGGAGGTGATGTGCAGCAATTCTTCTCACAACGGTCGTTTATATTTTTTTCGAGACACGCCGTGCGTGGAGGTTATTGCGTCGGCCAAGAAAATCCCGCTCCGACGTTTTTCTACCCATCTACTGCCCCATGTACGCGCTGCGATAATGCCGAAATACCCATTTTGGGTTTAGACCCACTTTGTCTTTTTTTCAGGTTCCCTTGTAGAGGAATCGTTTTGGTCTCCAGTTTAAATTTCCCAGACGCAACAGCAATTATTATTTTCTCCCCCCCCGTCCCCCTTATCCCGAAAATCAACATTTCCGTGACACATTGTGAAGCTGGGAAGCTTCTACATTTAAATGTTCTTTGTTTCAAAAGACAAATGTAAAAACAGTCTTCTCCAGCTACCAAAGTTTCATTATAACATCCATTGTAATTTTTTGTCATGTTTTTTTGTTGTTTTACAGAGGGTCACGGAAAACGTTTATCCCTCCATTTCGTCGGCATCGTCGCGCTCAAAGCCTCCTCGCTCCTCGTCGGTGTCAGAGCTGTGGCTGGTGGAGCGGTGGAATGGGCCCTCCTCCAAGCCCTGATAGGCCGATGACATCAGGGGGCCGGACTCTTCCTCCAGGCCCTGCTCGTGATTGGTCGACTGGAAGGATCCTTCCAGGTCTTCCTCCAGCTCCTCCTCAATATCTTGGTTCGGGGCTCCCATCTCCGTGTCCAGAGGCTCCTGTTTCACCAGCATTGGGTGGCTGGAATGAAGAAGAGACAAACGTATAGAATGCACAAGAGTTCTGTAAAATAACGACGATGCCCATTGTACGTCCAAGCGAGAGCCTCACTGGGTGGGTCTGCACTGGGATGTTTGGCCAATTCCATGAACGAAAGCTCTGGCTTCACGTGGGACAAAATCAGAGTGGCCTGGAGAGCATCCGCTAATGCGATAATGAGGTCAAATTCAAAGCTGTACACAGTTGGCTTCAAGAATCCCATTGTGCTTCCATTACCTGGCTACCCCTTAACCCCAAGGATAGGTAGGCAGTCTCCAATCAAAGCTTTCGTGGTGCTGTGGTCATATCCATGCTAGCATACACATGTCGATACGAGTGTACGCAACATTCAGACAACCGTATTTTAAAGCGATTATATTTTACCATGTGATAATGTCAATGCATTTAACTGAAGTAATACTCGAATGATTTTATTCACCACCATGTGTGTTGCCCTCATGTTACTGTATATAATAAAACTGACGTGTTTTCCAAAGAAACATTCTCTTGTCCATTGCACCAACGTGATCTCAGTAATGTAAGTAATTATTCACGTCAATAAAAATAACTTATCACATGTGCTATGAATAAGGGCCCATAGCCCAAAACATCACCTATTGTGTATTTTTTTAAATTTTTATTGTAAGGCCACAGTGTTATGAACAAAACATGTCGAGTCATTTTCCGGAAGGAAAGGGTAAATGCATTTTTCAAAAAAGATTAAGTGCATTTATCTTACTGTAACGCTAAACAATAACAGCAGCTTTAAATATTAAGCCTTGTATAAATAATACAAATGCAACTTGCATTAATTTCTCATGAGCACAAACTAAAAGCGTGCATAATGAAATCACGAAATTAAAGAATGGAAAATAGTTAATCCGTTGTCAGCACCCTCCTGATTGGCAGTTTTACAGGGCACCAGTAATGGCCTTTAAATTAAGTTAAGTTTAGGAACAATTGCAGGCACTGGAACAATCACACGGACACTACCCATTAATCTGAATCAATGTGCCAGGGTTGATTTGATTTCATAGCTATATAAAAAAAGGCAAACTGTTAATAGATGCGAGTAATTTAAATTAATGTTAAACAAATAAATAAAAACCCGAGTTATTGCGCGAAGATATTTAAACACATCTCATCATCATGTTCTTTTTTTGTGACAATGTCTTTTTCCTTCCAATTTAAATATTTATATACACACACAAACAACTATAGGCGACACACTTCATGAAATTGCACCGCTCCGTGTAGGTCTGTTATATAACCGGTGGTTGTGCACATGCTAAATAAAAATGCAACTTTATTAACTAAAACTAACCAAATGGACCATGGGGGGTGGCAGTGAACTATGGGCAGCTCAGATTAGCCCGGCTGGCTACGTACGGTGCGAAAGAAGTTCAACGGAGACACACACACACACATACGCACAACCCGCGGCAGCAGTCATCAGTGGTGTGAGTTCAGTTGCCCTAAAGGCGGAAGTGACTTTTGCCAAAGCGGCGCGAGCACAAATTGACTGAGCGGCCAAAGTGAACAGGCAGTGGCGTTACCTTCCATTGCTCCCCGTTTGTGGAAGTACGTCATTGTCGTGACCGTACGACAGATCTGGTAGAACGTATCCTTGGGTGCAATCTACACTGACCTAGATACGGCTGCCATGCAATGCATGCATGGCTTACGATATATATGAGCTGTGCGAGATAAAATCGGCTCGTATGTAGGCGCAGGGTGGATTTAAATTTTGATTTAAAGCTTTCGTGACTGCAGGGATTCATATTGTTGGTTCTTTCGGTAAAGTCACGTAGAAGGGAAACAATGAAATAATAAAAATATAAAACAATACAATTCTCACGACGTTTCGACTGCAACACAAGCAATCATCATCAGGTGTGAAAACCACAGCATGAAAATTTGAAAAAAGTGGCGGGTTTTTTTTACGTAAAAAAAACGCCACTTTTTTCAAATTTTCTTGCTAGGTGGATTGTTAAGAGATGCAGATGGCTTGGGGAGGCGCACAATCAGCGGTGTATTAATCAAGGTTGACGATGATGACTGTGCGTACGCTATGAGCATGAAAGGGTGCAAGAACGCACCTTCGATTAGCGAGGTTAGCTACCTACGCTGCGAACGAAGTTCAACGTACATACGTACAAGTCATCATATTTACATTGATTCTTACTGCTCACGATGGAAGCGTAGAATTGCATGTAAAAAAAAATAAACTGTTTCGATATGCAAGCGATATGCTCATGTTATACTTCGGCGAATGGGGTGAACAAAACTGTGAAAACGAGGCAGATAAAAGGAGAAACGATACAAACGGGACAACACAAAATGTGCACCACTGCTCCACCCCCGAAACATCGTTGTTGTTGTTGTTGAAGTTGTGTTACAAAGGGCCCCGTATATCGGTGTCATCCACCTGTTCATACACACACCGTCTAGCCCTGGACTGCACGAGGCTGCTACGCAAGGACAATATGCATCAATTGGTTGTTTCCAGTGGGAACATGATAGCGGTGAAACTTCACGAAAAGGCCGCGGATTGTCTGATACTCAATGTCTAATCGTGACCAAAAAAAAGCTGTTACTGTAAGCTTACAACTGTTCATTGTCAATCTTGTTAAACGTCCCCAGAATTTGCAGGGCCCCCACAGTGCAAAACGCAATCTACAACTTTAAGTCGGTCAACCCCTCCTGCCTTCTCTCTACGCCGAAGAAGGCCCAGTCAACCGGATCAGCCTGTTTACCCGTGAACGTATTCTAGCATCAAATAAAATACCACACGTTTTTAAATTACGACGATTAAACGAAGGATAACAAACTAACCCCAAGCTTCCAAGACAGCCATCGTCGTTTTGAAGTTCAATGATACAAATGTGTTCATTTATTTTTACTGTGCTTTTAACTGTGCACCACTGGCAACATAGCGTATAAATATTTGTTTCAATAAATATGTAATGTTTGCCCATTCTCTAATCCACTGCTGGATGAAGGCTTCTCACACCTTTGGGGTAGGGATTATTTGAACATGGTTCTCGCCGTGCTCTTCGGCGCGGCTTGGTGCAGTGGGTGCCAAGACCGGTTCAGATATCACTCGCAACCGATGTTGGTCGTGCCCAGGAATCGAACTGTTATTCCCGTGTTCTACTCTGCTACCGCTCTCACGTTATAAAAATGCTCATTAATACTCTGAAATCAAGGTTGCTTGAAGAAAGAAAAGGAAGTGAAAGTTCCCCATGAATTGTCCTATTATCAATTGTGTCACATATAGTGGGGCATCATTATAAGGTGTGACTATTACAAATCACTCGGCGCAGAATGGTAAACACTGCTCAAATATCTCCTTCCAGAAGACAATGCCCGGCTTTCCCTGTGGATTTTCAATCACGGCTGTTACCACAATCCTTTTTATCCCCTTCCCTATTAAAGCCAACTCTGTCAATACCAACACACCGCGCATTAATTCACAGTGGGATGATACGAGTTATTTATTTTAATTCTGTAAGAGTCTAAACGCGGCAAAACATTAAGCAGCTGTAATTTACAGAAGCCTATTTTTTTTGCCCAATTGCAGTTTAAAGGATTATGTGTAACCCGGGGCAGATTTTGCGAGGATATAAAAACAAAATGTTAATGTCATGTCAAAACGCTGCAAGTTTTTCAAAAGCCGCTTTTGGTTGATGGCAAGATAAGTGAAATAGATTGTAACAGTAAAAAGACAAACTGTTAAAGAGAAAGTCGCATCGGTGATATCACAAAGAACAACTGCTCTCTGTGCGTGTGAACACACACACACATACACAGCAGCTAGGTACGTGTTTGTTCCCGCTGAAATGTATTCATATTCATGGATAATATTGCATTGCTTTAACTTTGAACATCCGTATAAATATTCCGACAAATTCCATTACAAACAGCCCAATCAGTAACAAACAGCATTTGTGAATTATTTGATAACTCGGTAATTTCAAACGGTTATCACATAATTCATTGTTCTTGGCCACATGAAGAAAACTATGAGCACTAAAGTCACGGCCACCTCACGTGGTGGCGACAAGTGAAATGATCTGCTCTGGGCTTGTGGACTCCAAGTGCGAGCGCGGTCGCCAATCTCCAACCTATGGGCCACGCAGTAACGCCCACTGCCCACTTTGATCGTTCACCGGCAGCAATCACGGACATCCACCACGAGGCTACTCCTGAAAGCCGTCAACCTCGACACGAATGCAGAAAGTTGGTCGATCAAGTCTATGCCGTACGAAAGAGGAAGCGGGCAATTATGATATTTTTTTAAAGAGAGTTTTTACATTGCATTTGTAGGATCTGCCATGGTGGTGGAACAGATAAACAGCTGTCTGCTCCAGTGTGCCCACCCACAGACTGAAATCGTGCGCGGCGCTCTTGACACGTGACATCACACAGCAGGTGTGTAGCGCCATATCCAAGTCACCGCGCACCACTCCGCGGTTAGAAAAAAAACGGAGATACGAATACAATTTTCAGCGCTCTGTCAATCCGCTGCTGGATGAAGGCATCTCCATGCCGTACCGGTCACTTTGGTTGTTTTGCTCTCGGATAAAGCCGCTCAATATTTTATGGGATCTGCTGACCTCGAAAGAAAATGAACGAAGCCTAAGAAGCTCATCCTCCTGCTTCCTCTTTAAAACGCCCAGGTTTGATTCTCCCTTTGGGAAAAAAAAAATCCTTCTATGCGAGGCTGCTCCCTCATTGCGGAATCGCTATCGCGTTAGATTTTGGAATTCAATCATTGCCATCCACAAGAAACCTCCGTTCACTCGTGATACTTTGTGGATTTAGCTGTCATAAATCATCGGTAGAGAGGTGTGAGCCTGAGTCTGATGTGGAACACACTTAAAGTTCCCAGTTACTGATTGCGTCTGCTTTGTTAAATGTTCATGAATATAATAATTCACCCACGCTGGTAAACGTGGATTGCTGTATTGTGCACAGAG